GTAAGAAAGTGTGACAGTTTGTGACAGTGGGGAGGGGGGTCAGGCCATGTGTGACATCGAACATTTATTTTTTTTAAATTTTATTTCTAATTTATTATTTTATTTTTTTAGTAGAATTTAATAGCTTTAAAAATAATTTTCAAAAAATTGTGTGAAACATTTGAATTATTTATTTTTTTTGGTCAAAATAGCATGAAATGCTTATCTCCTGAATGTGTTGTTCACGATTCCTCTCGCTAGGAGCACTAGTAAGCTGCTGCGAAGCCTTGTTTTATGTATAGCCTTGCTGAGATCAACAGGAGTTTTTAAAGTACAACCATATGATCTTTATTGTCCATCTTTGCAGACCAGCCTACTTGATCGAATTTGCAAAGTATGTCACTTATAATTTGCCTCACACACAATGTTGAAGAAACATGCAGGACAACACAGAGAGCTCGGGCTCGGGAGAATGTGCCAACCCAAACTGTTCCAGAATCAACTCAGATAAAACGCATCAGTCCTTTGAGAATCACTGCTAGAAGGCAAAGAGAACTCGTGGCAGTTATTGCCAGAAGAGAAAATGCACATTCTGAGGATGTTGAGTGGCTAGATGAGGATGAAGTTGATCTGTCTGCAATTATCCTTCCAGGAAACGATGATGGTGAAAGATTGATGCCAGTCGTAACTATGGATGACACTTCACTTCACCATGGATGGATGATGTCCGTTGAATATTTTTGAATTAAACATGATTCACTGGCCCATAATAAACAGATTCAATATAGCACAAGAGTTTGTCACATAATTTGTCAATCTAGTCTTTTTTTAGTAAAAATTGTTTTGTTTCCTTTTTATTATTTAATCACTGGGTGAAGTCAAATTTCGCTAATTTACTTCTTATCCTGTGTAAAAAGATTGCATAATCGGAAGATTATCTAAAACTTGACCTCACCTATTGTAAATGAAAAAGCAACAGATAAATGATGTGTATTATATAATTGTCTAGTCTAATTTTTGCAATTTTTGCTTTCAAATTCAATTTAGATTGAGTTACTGCTTCAATGAATAACTATGACAACTGTTGACAATTAAATATTCTACTATTAAAGTAATTTTAATAATGTGATAGTTCTTTTAAGTGGAAATTTTATATTTTAATACAGTTTAATAGTGAAGTGTGTTTTAGATTAAATTTTAATTATGTGTTAATTTTTTTTTTTTTAATTGTTCGAAAGTGTGACGTACTTAAGTGGGGTGGGGGGGGTGAGATTTGTGACAGGGGGGAGGGGGGTAAAATGGTCAAAAATAGCGTGACGTACTTTATGAACGGCACCTAATGTCTGTGCTTTCTGCTTAATGCTCGCTGTTGTCATAAAAGTTTCGGCTCCATATAGTAGGACTTTTTTGACATTTGTGTGGAAAATTCTGACTTTGGGGCGGATTTTTACAAAGTTCCCGGATGTAACTCTAATTCGAAAAAAGGAATGTTTGCATATTTGAAAAACTTTTTGTGACAGTTGTAGGCCTACTTTTGTGATGTAAATTTGTGGGCCTATCTATCTATCGCTGTGATGTATATCTATCGTTGTGATATGGTGTTGTAGGCCTATCTTTCGTCGTGATATAGTGTTGTAGGCCTATCTATCGTTGTGATGTAGTGTTGTAGGCCTATCTATCGTGATGTAGTGTTGTATGCCTATTTATCGTTGTAATGTCGTGTTGTAGGTCTATCTATATTTGCGATGTAGTGTTGTAAGTCTATCTATCATTGTGATGTAGTTCTAGCTAACATTATGATATGGTGCTGTAGGCCCATCTTTCGTTATGATATATGGGAGCTCAGGCCAATAGTGTCAAAGCTAAAGAATACGGAATTTGACGAAACTCCTACTCCTTGTGCCACGGGCGAATGTGCTATGGAGTAGTTTTATAATGAATTTATTAGTCCGTTAAGACTTTTAGTAATATTAATTTGCAACATTTATTTTAAAGAACATTATTTGGAATGATGAAAAAAAAAAAAGAGGCTTGCAATACTTGCATCAATATTTCAACGAAAAAAAAATATTTTGGGTAGATTGGTCAACCTCCCAAAGTTCACCTCCCTTATTTCAGTTTACTTCCCCCACAGCCCCGCCCCCCCTACCCCAGACATTACGGTGTACCGGGTCTTTCAATGTCCACTACCAAACGAGGCTTTGTTGAATTAGAGATTTCATGGAGGTCGCCTGGTAGACCTCAAGGACTTATTTGGCTAATGACACTGCCCAGTTGGCAATTAAAAAAATACCACCTTCAAATCTCACTACCAATTGCTAATAGACTGGTTCATCCACGCAAGCATTAGGCTGGTTCATCCATGCAAGCATTAGATTGGTTCATCCATGCAGGCATCAGCCTGGTTCATCCATGCAGGCATCAGGGTGTTTCATCCATGAAAGCATTACGGTGGTTCATCCACGCAAGCTTTAGGGTGGTTCATCCATGCAAGCATCAGGGTGGTTCATCCACGCAAGCATTAGCCTGGTTAATCCATGCAGGCATTAGGTTGGTTCATCCACGCAAGCATTAGGGTGGTTCATCCATGAAATCATTACGGTGGTTCATCCATGCAAGCATTAGGCTGGTTCATCCATGCAAGCATTAGGTTGGTTCATCCATGCAAGCATTAGGGTGGTTCATCCACGTAAGCATTAGCCTGGTTCATCCATGCAAGCATTAGGCTGGTTCATCCATGCAAGCATTAGGTTGGTTCATCCATGCAAGCATTAGGGTGGTTCATCCACGCAAGCATTAGGCTGGTTCATCCATGAAAGCATTAGCCTGGTTCATCCATGCAAGCATTAGACTGGTTCATCCATGCAAGCATTAGGATGGTTCATCCATGCAGGCATTAGGCTGGTTCATCCATGCAGGCATCAGGGTGGTTCATCCATGAAAGCA